TATGCCACATTTGTGAAACAGCATGGGGCAAAGGCCCATGGGGAGGAAGCCTGGTGGGGGAAAACTTAGAACAAACACTGAGGCAGACCCACGGTCATGTCTTAAGTTTATTGTTTATTCTGGAAGCAATTTGGAGTTTTAAGGGTGTTTTTCTGATATAATAGGCAGTGACGTGATGCTTTTTAAAAATTATTTAAAAATTTATTTGAAAGGGAGATAGAGTGAGAGTTAGAGGGGAAGAGAGAGATATTGATTTTTTCATTTTCTGATTCAATTCCCAAATGCCCACAATAGCTGGGGTTGGGCCAGGCCAGAGCCAGGAGCCAGGAGCCAGGAGCCAGGAGCCAGGAGCCAGGAACTCCATCTTGATGGTCTCCCACATGGGTGACAGAAGTACTTGGGTCATAATTTGCTGCCTTCCAGCTGTGTTAGCAGGAAGATAAATTGGAAGCATATAGTAACCTGGACTCAAACTGACACTCCAGGATGGGATGCAGGAATCCTACGGTGCCACACTAGCCTTTACAGTGATGCATTTCATTGAGTTAGGTTATTTGGATTGTGCCAGTGAGGAAGGTTAACTAGCAGCATGACAGTGAGATCAGAATATGTATCTTGTGTGAGTGGTTAAAATGCTGTAACAGAAAAAAAGAGATACCAGAGGAAAATGATTAACAAAAACGCTTATAATTTTTTGCATACAAACTATGTGTTAAATGTTTTACAATAATTGTCTCATTTAATCCTCACATTGACACCTTCAAGGGAGGGACCAGTATCATTTTAAAGATGAAGAAACTCAGGCTTAGGAAGGTTTAATGACTTGCCTTAGATAACACAGCTCACAAAGTTTGACTGGGATTTGAATGCAGGATCAATTTCAAAGGTCATATTCTTAAAAGCTCCACAATATAGCCTCTGGAAGATCTCCTTTAATGGACATGGAGAGTTTGATGTGCCTGAGAGGAAACCAGGCAGACCCTTTCAGTTAGACTTTGGAACTATGAATTTTGATCACAAAAAGAAAATTCATGGCTCACTAAATAGAAGCTGGAATCAATAGTTTATTCATAAAAATGGATTTACTGAGGGAGGTGAGAGATGACCTGGGCAGAGCATAGAGTACAGGAAGAGCACTGGAGGTAGAATTTGGGAGAGCATGATCACTTAACAGTAAGTTAACAAGTCAATCAGATGGTGGAGATCCAGAAAGGAGGCCAAGAAGTAGTGATTAGAGTGATGAGGCGCAGCAGATGGGAGAGGGAGCAATTTTAAGGAGTGAATTTCTCACAGAGAAGCCTCAAAAGAGTGGAGGGCATAGATGGCTTTGCCTTCTTTGCCTGAAGATCAGGTTAAGTGTGGTTCCTCTACCTTCTCCTCCATTATATTGAATTAAATTGTGTCAACCTCTGTTACAAAAGTCCCGCTCCCACTGTTGTTTTCCCACTGAACTCCATGTCTGTTCTGAAGGGACCTCTGGATGAAAACTCAATGGTGGAACAAACATTACTGATGCATCCTGATCCAGTGAATGGTCTAAATATCTCCTGATGCTGGTCATGAGCTCTGCCTCATACTCAATGATTTTATGGTAATCCATGTGGGAAGCCCCTACTGTAGTGCTCTGGTTCTCAAGGATCAAGTCCCAGGAATCCAATCTTATATATAAAAGCTATATGCATTTGGTCCTTTGTATCTGCGGGTTTTGCATTTGCAGATTCAACCAACCGTGGATCGAAAATTGAGATTTATGGTCATTATTAAGTAAAATAATGGTGATTATGCTCCTGCATCAGTGGATCTGACAACTGAGGTGACTACTATGTGATTAGTAGAGTGTATTAATCATATATGAATAATGCATATTCATATATGATATGAATATGCTGGACAAAGGGATGAATCACATCCTGGGATGGATGGAGTGGGATAATGTGCAATTTTATCACAATACTCAGAATGGCATGCAGTGTAAAGTTAATGTTTATTTCTGAAATTTTCTATTTGATGTTTTTGCACTAGAAAAATATTAACTGAAATAACAGAAAGTGAATCTGCAGATAAGGGGGGGCTACTTTATATTGAGGGAATGCTGTCATGTGAAGAGTGAGGGAAGCAGGCTAGGGTAGGGCAAGAAACCTAAGAAAGTCTGTGGTCTCAGCTGGAAAGGAGCCTTAGCCTCATTCTTTAGGAAGCTTTGAAGGACAAATGTTATATAGTTTTTATTATGTAATTTTAAACAGCTATTTATATAACATTTTCATTGTATTGCTTGTTATACATAATCTAGAGATGGTTCACAGTATATGAGAGTGTGTGCTAGGTCAAATGCAAATATGACACCATTTCACATAAGGGACTTGGATATTTATGGGTTTGGATATTTGTGGGGGGTCTTGGAACCAATCTTCTTGCATACCAAGGGTAGCCACATAATTCTGTGTGTTTGTATTAATATAATGTGGGAATGTATAGTATGCGTAAAACTATTTGAAAACTATAATGTATAAAATTTATTAATAAATTGTAAGTATAATGAGTTTTTTTGGCTATTTCAGAATGATTTATTTAGTCACAAAAATCTAAATTTTGTATCACAATAATACTGATGATTACATTGGTTAATATTTTTTCTTTTTTTTATTTAGTAAATATAAATTTCCAAAGTCAGTTTATGGAATACAATGGCTCCCCCCCCATAATTTCCCTCCCACTCGCACCCCTCCAATCTCCCGCTCCCTCTCCCATTCCATTCACATCAAGATTCATTTTCAATTATCTTTATATACAGAAGATCGATTTAGTATATATTAAGTTAAGATTGCATCAGTTTGCACCCACACAAAAACACAAAGTGTAAAATACTGTTTGAGTACTAGTTATAGCATTACTTCACATTGGACAACACATTAAGGACAGATCCCACATGAGAAGTAAGTACACAGTGACTCCTGTTGTTGACTTAACAATTTGACACTCTTGTTTACGGCGTCAGTAATCTCCCTAGGCTCTAGTCATGAGTTGCCAAGGCTATGGAAGCCTGTTGAATTCAACGACTTTGATCTTATTCCGACAGGGTCATAGTCAAAGTGGAAGTTCTCTCCTCCCTTCAGAGAAAGGTACCTCCTTCTTTGGTGGCCCCGTTCTTTCCACTGGGATCTCACTCACAGAGATCTTTCATTTAGGTCTTCTTTCTTTTTTTTTTTTTTCCAGAGTGTCTTGGCTTTCCATGCCTAAAATACTCTCATGGGCTCTTCAGCCAGATCCGAATGCCTTAAGGGCTGATTCTGAGGCCAGAGTGCTGTTTAGGGCATCTGCCATTCTATGAGTCTGCTGTGTATCCCGCTTCCGATGATGGATCATTCTCTCCCTTTTTGATTCTATCAGCTAGTATTAGCAGACACTAGTCTTGTTTGTGTGATACTCATTACACACAAACAAGACTAGTGTAGTGAGTATTTTTGCAAGGAACAAAGGAAGGGGGGATGAGGGGAGTTAATTAACTTTTTTAACAAAGAGATTTAAACTGAGATAACCCAGATCTGGTCTTTCCCACCTCCGCAATATGTCCCCATATAGATTACTTTTATCATCAGATTCACATCAGATTCAGCCTGAACCTTGCTATAAGACTGATTGTTCCCTCAGTGCTTCTAATGCCATTGTCTCAGAGTTACTATTGTAATTGGGTCAATGCCTTTCCATTAGGCTGGGTGGGTCTCCTAGAAGCAGAGCTGGGATGGGAATCCTTGCTCAAATGGTATACGATGGTCTTCCCTTATCTTTGGGGAGAAGTTTTAAGATCCCCAGTGGATGCCTGAAATGGAACATTTCTTACAATGTTTTTTCCTATACACACCAGGGAGCTTAAAAAATCATGGAAAATGTATATTGTGATAAAAAAAAAAACCCTATGCATGGATCTTGAAATTCCTCTGCAACAAAATAGACTTACATTTCAATTCCATTTTCCCATAAAAATACCTTCATACCTATGATAAAATTTCTTTTTTTTTTTTTTGCTTATAGGAAGCATTTTGTAGTTTCTAGCATCACTATTCTTGCTGCATGCAGGCACACAGGCCAGCCTTTCTACCCCTTTGTTAGGCAATCACTGACTTCTAGAAGTGTCTCATCTGGGTATGGTATAACCTGCTGGGTGAGGTGCCTCCCATTTAACTGAAGAAAACTCTGGTGAAAAAGGGAATCATGGGACTTTAGCACTCAATACCCCCTGCAGATGGGAGGTATTTTGACTTGTGAGTGAGATCTGGTTGGACATAGATGGTATCCATTCCTTTTTTGGATAAAAATGGAGTAATCGGGACAAGTATAAAATGTTGAATGTGCATTTGGAATAGAGTAAAATGTAGAGTAAAAGATCAGGATGAAGTCAATGTCAGGTTTGTATTGATTTGGGTTTATCATAATAAAATAGATGTTATAAATTTTTATTGATTAAAAAGCCTATTAACATGTCTTTATTAATGTTAAAGTCAGGGTTAAGAGTAGAATTGGGTTATGCTATGTTTCATTGTTAATCTGTATTACTAGTAGAATTGCTACAGTTGGACTGGAATTTATTATTTATTATTTAAGATGTCTAATAATATGGTTAGAATTATAATTAATATTCAGCATCAGAGATCATACAGGTAGGATAGGTTAGACAAAGTGCTGTGATTTTTTTTTTTTATTTTTCAAGACATATGCATACTCAGTAGCCTTTATTTGGACAACTAAATGATTTAAAACATTGTATTAATATTTTTCTTACTATCAGGATTGAGTATACAGGAGGATTTGGTAGAAAGTAGAATTGGGAAAATTTGCATTTGGTGCTTGAGTTACAGTTAGATTTAGCTTAGAACAGTCTCAGAGTTTGGATGGGCAATGGAATTAGAATTTGGGTTATATAATAGGACATTTGGGTAGAGGAAGGTTTGGTGTTAGGATTCTGGAGGATTTGACAATGACTTTTTTGTGTTTTTTCATTCCAGCCTCTACCTGCCTGGTACAGGAAACAACTTGGCTTCTTCATTATGGTGGGCTCCAGTGGCAATGAATCCAGTGCCACCTATTTCATACTAATAGGCCTCCCAGGCTTAGAAGAGGCTCAGTTTTGGCTGGCCTTCCCACTGTGCTCCCTCTACCTTATTGCTGTGATAGGTAACTTGCTGATCATCTACATTGTGCGGACTGAGCACAGCCTACATGAGCCGATGTATATTTTTCTTTGCATGCTTTCTGGCCTTGACATCCTCATTTCCACCTCATCAATGCCCAAAATGATGGCCATCTTCTGGTTCAATTCCACTACCATCCAGTTTGATGCTTGTTTGATACAAATGTTTGCCATCCATTCCTTATCTGGTATGGAGTCTACAGTGCTACTGGCTATGGCCTTTGACCGCTATGTGGCCATCTGTCACCCACTACGCCACGCCACTGTACTCACGTTGCCTCGTGTTGCCAAGATTGGCATGGCTGCTGTGGTACGAGGTGCTGCACTAATGGCGCCTCTTCCTGTCTTCATAAAGCGACTGCCTTTCTGCAGATCCAATATACTTTCACATTCCTACTGCCTTCATCAAGATGTCATGAAGCTGGCCTGTGCTGACATCCATGTCAATGTCATCTATGGCCTCATTGTCATCATCTCTGCCATTGGCCTGGATTCACTTCTCATCTCCTTCTCATATCTACTTATCCTTAAGACTGTGTTGGGGTTGACACGTGAAGCCCAGGCAAAGGCATTTGGCACTTGTGTCTCTCATGTATGTGCTGTTTTCATATTCTATGTACCTTTCATTGGATTGTCTATGGTGCACCGCTTTAGTAAGCGACGTGATTCTCTATTGCCTGTCATTATGGCCAACATCTATCTGCTGGTTCCTCCTGTGCTCAACCCCATCGTCTATGGAGTCAAGACAAAAGAGATCCGGCAGCGCATCCTTCGTCTCTTCCACATGATCACACATTCTTCAGATGCCTAGGGTGTCATCAGTCAAACTTCTTGTCTATTTAAAGTCCTCCACTTGATTTTAATGTCAATATTTTGGAAGACAGTATTAAGAGGAAAATGCACAATTTAGATTCTTCAAAAATGAATCAGGTTTGGGAATTTCTGTGGGGAAAGAGACGGTAGGACCATATGCTCCCAATACCCATTTTCAATATTATTTCCTCTTTTTTTGCAATTCTTAAGACACCTGAAGTGTTTTGGTTGGGGGTTATAATTTCCAGCTTCTTTATCCAGTCCAAATTTAAATTGCTTCTACTCATTTTTCAGAGTAGTATGTGATAGGGGTGATATGCATGTTTGAGAAACATTTGCCAAAGGCTTAAGCATGACAAAAAAGAAACAGAAGAATACAACAGAATCAGATAATCTGGCTTAAAGCTATGACTTTATCTTCCAATTGTCAACCATATAGGATATTGGGCAAAGTGATATACTTCTTCAAAATGACCTCCATGAAGAAGGAAAGAAATTTTTTCCCATAGCAGTAGTCCTGAAGGAGAAGATTGGAAGCAAAACTTAGAAGACTTCATTCACTACATTAATGAAAGACTACACTTTGTTCTGAGAGTTTTCAAAGCCTATGTACACCCTTTTGCCTACTTAACTTTCTTATTGACCTTTTGATTTAGGAGGCAATATTATTAGTACCTTCATTGTACCAGTGGGAAAACTGATGTTCATTGGAAATCAGTGAATTGCATGGATTCTCATAAGCTAAGCCAAGAAAACGCCTTTTAATGGTCCAATCCCTAACTATGTGGAAATATTGTTAAGAGACCAGTAAGACAGTTAGGCATTTCCAGAGTCTTGCATTTTCCAGAGAAGATATTAATTTTCACTCTCACTTATTGGTGTTGTATTTAGGAATTTCCTGTCAACAGAGTTTATGGCTTTAATCCCAATATGTTTTGCTCTTTTTGCTGGTCCAAATTGTCATTTTGCCTGTGTAGTGGAAGCAAGAGTGTTTGGAGATTTCCCAAACAGTGCCTTATTTGGGAAATAAAATGTGGTTAGCAGTGGAGTGACTGGGATACCTGAGAGGCACTTTAGGAAGAGAAGCAGCTGAGAACATCTAGCATCTAGCATCCCATAAGACAAAGGACCACAGACCTGGGAGTCAAGAAAAACAGGTTCCAGGAGACTGAATATGTCCAGTGGCATATGTGGCTGGCTAGCAAGCAAGCTAGGGTAAGGATAAGTGAGAAAGTGAGGAGAGCACATCGCTGCATGCCACATGTGTCCGTGGAACTGAGCTGCTCTGAGGGGAAGATGGCAGCATCAATGATTGGATAATAAGACCACAGAAGAGGCAGCATTATTTCATTCCTGTCACCCATGCTTAGCATTGTGTTATCACCAAATGGTTCCACCTGGGAATCCTATAAGTTAATCCCAGTACTTTCCAGAAAAAGCAAAATAGGAATCAGGCAGCTGGATATAGAAGAGTGCAGTGGGAGGAGACTGGGCAAAAATTGAGATAACCAACCACAGGGATTGTCCTGGTTAGACCCAGAGTAAGTCAGCTGAGTAAAAGAAGTAGCCAGCATAGTGGGGAGCATAGCACATGGCCTCATAGTACATGGGACTTTCTGGCCATAGCTAGTAGCACAGAGGCTATTCCAGTGGAGAGGACACAGGTGCATATCTGATCTCTTGGGCCATAATCCAGAAGTTGAGGCCAAATGGTGAGTGGTGGCCAACAGAACTAGGAGCATAACCTTGGGTCAGTGTAGGCTTTGGTCCTGTTGATCTGTGGAGGATCAAGCCAGTACCCAAAAGGGTCCTGACACTGGGCTTGGGAGAATGAGAAATGAAAGAGAAGAGGTAGACTTTTTTTTTAATTAGGAAAGCAATGTATGATTACTGTAAACAAAAATGTTGACACCTTGAATCTATAAAATTAATAAAAATATAATGAAAATATCAAATAAAACTGTGGTCTTAAAAGATTTAAAAACATTATTAAGATTTTGGTGTTTGCTGTTCCATATTTTTAATATGCATTTATGTGCATGTTTCTATATGGGCATATTGTGAGTTTCTCTTACATTTGAAATCCTTTTGGAGACATAGATAATAAATAAATCAGATAGACTCGTTTTAAATTCTTCTAGGAATGCAATCATATCCTAAGTTTAGAAAGGAGTTCTGTCTATGATAGTGAGTGTGCCCAAGACAAGTTTTCATGGATTTGATCCTGAATGATTTAACTATTTTGTGAATATAAATATGCATCTTTGTGTTTAAATAAGCAATGAATACCAGAAACAGCAGCAGAACCATCACAAAAATCTGTTAACTTCTAGACCAGCCTTTTGATGATTTACTTCATGAGGAACCAGTGTAGTCCTCTAGAAGGGCCTGGAGCTAGGGATTAGCATGTTTCTTTCTCTTTTAAGAGAATTTGAAGGAAAGCTGGACCATGTTTTACACAAAGACCTTCTTATGTGCCTTTCACATTAACATTATTTCACGCTTCAATTTCCTTTGTTTGGAACCTCCTTCCTTTGGTCCTAACATTTAGTCATTTGAACCACTGGTGGGTCCTGGAGAAATCTGAATAATGTTAAATCTGTCTCTAAGTCACCTGCTTATTTTATGAGTTTTTTCTAGAAATGTGGTTTTTTAACTTTTATTTAATAAATATAAATTTCCAAAGTACAACTTTTGGATTATAGCAGCTTTTTCCCCCATAACCTCCCTCCCACCAGCAACCATCCCATCTCCCACTCCCTCTCTCATCCCATTCACATCAAGATTCGTTTTCAATTATCTTTATATACAGAAGATCAATTTAGTATATACTAAGTAAAGATTTTAACAGTTTGCACCCACACAGAAACACAAAGTGTAAAGTACTGTTTGAGTACTGGTTATACCGTTAATTCACATAGTACAACACATTAAGGACAGGAATGTGTTTTAAACATGTCTTGTGTTCCCTATTCTGAATATCAGTGCTCTGGTCCAGATGCTTACTTCCCACATTGAAATTGAAACTACATCCACACTGATATCCTTGTCTTACACACCTTTTCCACCAGTCCTAAATCCCATAAGCTTATTCCCCTGCTTAAAATCCAAGAAAGATCTTTTATGGGCTTTCAGGTAGAATCCAAACTTCTTAGAATAGCAGATTTTCTCCAGTAGGTTGTTCTTCTCCCCTTTTATTTTTCCAGTATAATATCTCTAATTTTTCCACTATAATATCTCTAATTTTTCCATATACCATCTGGTCATCTACCTTCTAATACGCATCTTTTAATGACTTCAATACTTTTAAGTCCCTGTTTCTTTCTTTCCTTAGTCTGAATTATATGTTGCCATTTTTTTTGTTTATAAAATTTCACAAAAAAGGCTTTTTCTTAATATCAGGCCCAAAATGTGTTCTCTCTTCATTATTCCCAAACAACTATAGAAGTGGATTGTTTCTGTTTCAAAGAGTTTGGTACTTCCAGCTGATATCTAACCAAGTTAATGTTATCTTAAGTCACTCCTTAAGTTGAGATAAGACTGCCTTGGATGCAATGAACAAACCTGCCAGAGGTTCATCCTATGTTTGGGTTTTGGAGATAGGGAGACCAGAATCTGGGAAAGGACCTTATTATAACATTGGGTTAAAGTTTTAGAGTCAATATTAGCTATTTATCTCCTAGACATGGAACCTGAAAAGTTCTTCCCTGGAATCTTACAGCTTTTTATCTGAGACTTGATCAAAGGTGGGAAACGTACAAAATCAGATTGTAATCTTGTCTTTATGCTGCTAAAGAAGCCAAAGAGGATGCAGGGTTTTCACGCTAAGAAAATAAAGTAGAGGATGTAAAACGAGGATTTGAAATGGGGACATAGAATGATGTGAAATTGTAATTATCAGATTTTACCATGCCAGGTAAGTGATTTTAGCCTGATGAGACCCTCAGCAGATAATGCACCCAAACCCGTCCATACTTATGAAACTCTGCTGGGGTTCCCCATATGCTTGAGCAGGGAGCTGGATCAGAAGTGGAGGAGATGAAACATGAATTGGCACTCCAATTTGGGATACAGTATCACAAGTGCAGCAGTTTAACCCGCTGTGCCACACCAGCCCTATGTGTTTTGTGTATAGCTGCAAAGTTTTAAAATAATTTATTATGCAGGGCTGTATAACTGATGCAGTCACCAAATACATTTTTAATGCTGTTAACATTAGTGTTACTCCAGTGAGTGTGATTCCTGCACTGAGAAAGCAAAGCTGAACAAATGGCTTAGACTCTCTCCTCATGGAGTATATAGTCTGTCGGAGGAAAGGAAGCCTAAATGGATGGTATATAATGCCAGTACAAATTTACATTTATTTGTAGACATATTAATGTGCACTCTTGCCACAAGAATCAAGTCTGGTTTTGGTACAATTGTATTTTTATCATCTAACAGAGTGCCTAGTTCATTGTGGGCATTTAGGGGAAAAAATCTGTTTGTTTAGAGGCTCACATGCTCCTCAGCAGATAGCTGATACTTAGGAGACAGTTTTGGCAGGATTTGAGTAGGGAGCTTGGATAATGGGTACCAAACCGAGTTTTATAGTTTTGTTGAAGGAATAAGTTCCCAGTGTCACACAGCATAATGAGGAGACTATAGTTCTCAATAAACTGTCATATATTTAATGAACAACATAAGAAACTCCAAGCCTCAATCATAAAGTATTCTAAAAGAAAGGGAGATATTGAGCATGATTTGATCAGCACACATTTTAAACCTGTACTGAAATGTTACAATGTAGCCTATAAGAGTATATAACTATTATTAATAAAGCTTTTAAAAGATAAAACTTGAATTCTTAAGGACTCTGACATATAACCCTGCTTTCTTGGTTCAGGCCCTATATACAAGATCTTGTGAAATTGACCTCATACTTGGAGGAGTTTGTAAGGGAGGTGAGGAGAAAGACACACAATGTCCATAACTTCACTTTCTAAGATGGTGCATTCAACCAGACATATATTTACACATCTTAGTATATTCTCTAAAACTCCTTTTCCCTTTCTTTTTTCCTGGAAGACCTCTTTACTAGGCCAGAGTATTTTGGTGAGGTGTGAATGAAATCACTTCCAGTGATTGCAATCAATTCCAGTGATTTCATCCCAGGGTGAAAAGGCAAGGAGCCTTAACTAAATGAGATGGCATAGTTCAATCAGTTGTGCTGTCTCTATATATGCAGGGCATCTATCCAAGTTGAAACTTTTCCACAAATTGTTGCAGCGTTTATAAGTATTTTTTCCTCTGAAAAATTAGAGGCTCACTGGAGGGAAAACATCTCCAAATGATCTCTTACACTTTGTTCCTATATCTACATATATGAAATACATGAAACTTGTATAAAAATAAAGATAAAAATAAAAATATTAAAAATAAAAGATTTTAATTCATTGCTTTATCTCCTACTCAGAATAATTTATAATTAAATACTTCAAAATTACCTAATTGACATTTGAGTTTCTCTATTCCATTAACACCATTAGACAGCGAGTTGTGTGCTGAAACCTATGGGCTTGCAGTCTAGTTGAGTGACAGACTGTTGTACACATGCAAGACACAAGCAAAGTTATATGAAAAATATTGAAATGAGAATTAATTAGGGTTTTCTGAGAAATTAGGCTTATAGGGTGATATGGATAACTAGAAATGAGATATGGGTAGGTATGGGGATGAGAATGACTCTGGAGGAGGAAAATGTGTCTAGAATGACACTGAAAATAGATGATAACTTAAACATTAATTTTCTTGGCTCCAGTTTTGCTCATGTGTCTAATATATTTCTAATCTTCAATTCAAACTATTAACTTATTTTAGAGTAAAACATTAAATAAATTTTATATATTAGATATGAATGAAAATTCCTAGTATTGTGTATGCAGTCATGAACAATTTGGTCATCTACCTTTTTGCCTTCATCCTTTTTCATTCCCTCTTCAAATCCTATTCCACAGCCATACCAATGGAGATATGACAAGTGGTGGAGGCTTAATGAAATGCAAGAACACAAATATTTCTGGAAAAATATTTAATTCTTCCAAATATAGTGCCTTTTATTCAAATTGCTTCTTTTGTACTGGACTGTTCTCATTCTTGCTCAATTCCTATTTGGCCTGTATCTAATTTTCAAGAGAAATCAAAAGATTTCTCTCCTTTGCAGAAACTTGCAAATCTCCAAATGCAAGTTTTGGTAATACCTAGCAATCTCATTCAGAGTTATATATGGCACTCATTAGTCTATAGCCTGCCTGACTCTAACAAGCATTTTACATAGCCTGAGATTAGAAGCTTGAGAGATAAATGACTATGTTTAATATACTTCAAAATCTTTAGTTCTCAATACAACTCTATTACTTAAATTTGCAACATGAAAAACCAGATGGTCTTCCTACTGCTTTAGTATGGTCTATGAAGTTTCATGGCTTGCTGTGTCTATCAGGTTCCAGCAACGCAAGAGTAGTCTATTTTACGATGTACAAATTTTCAAATATTTTTTAGAAAACTTTTACTTAATAAATATAAATTTCAAAAGTACAACTTTTGGATTATAGCAGTTTTTCCCCCATAACCACCCTCCCACCCACAAACCATGCCATCTCCTACTCCCTCTCCCATCCCATTCTTCATTAAGATTCATTTTCAACTATCTTTATATACAGAAGATCAACTTAGTATATACTAAGTAAAGATTTCAGCATATTGCACCCACACAGACACATAAAGTATAAAGTACTGTTTGAAGATTAGCTTTACCATTAATCCTCATAGTACAATACACTAAGGAAAGAGATCCTACAAGGGAAGTAAGTGCACAGTGACTTCTGTTGTTGATTTAAAAATTGCTCTTATTTATGACATTTGTAATCACCCGAGGCTCTTGTCATGAGCTGCCAAGGCTATGGAAGCCTCTTGAGTTCACAAACTCTGACATTATTTAGACAAGACCATAATAAAAGTGGAAGTTCTCTCCTCCCTTCATAAAAAGATAACTCCTTCTTTGATGGCCCATTCTTTCTACCACGATCTCATTCATAGAACTCTTACATTTAGGCCATTTTTTGCCACAGGGTCTTGGCTTTCCATGCCTGAGATCCAAATGCTGGATCCAAATGCCTTAAAGTCTGATTCTGAGGCCAGAGTGCTGTTTAGGACAACAAAATTTATTTATTTATTTATTTTTTTGACAGGCAGAGTGGACAGTGAGAGACAGACACAGAGAGAAAGGTCTTCCTTTGCCGTTGGTTCACCCTCCAATGGCCGCCACGGCCGGCGCGCTGCGGCCGGCGCACCGCGCTGATTCGATGGCAGGAGCCAGGAGCCAGGTACTTTTCCTGGTCTCCCATGGGGTGCAGGGACGAAGCACTTGGGCCATCCTCCACTGCACTCCCTGGCCACAGCAGAGAGCTGGCCTGGAAGAGGGGCAACCGGGATAGAATCTGGCGCCCCGACTGGGACTAGAACCCAGTGTGCCGGCGCCGCTAGGCAGAGGATTAGCCTAGTGAGCCGCGGCGCCGGCCAGGACAACAAAATTTATAATAGTACAGTTTCATCACTGTTGGCATTTGAGTCTCATCACTCTGAGCATGGCCCTCCTGATGGGCTTGGATTTCACGCTGTAGATGATGGGGTTGAGCACAGGAGGCACCACCAGGTACACATAGGCAACAAGAGCATGCACAATGTGTGGAAGGTGCCTCCCAAATCGGTGGATCATGGACACACCTATGACTGGGATGTAGAAAACCAGGACGGCTAAGAAATGAGATACACAGGTGTTGAGGGCCCGTAAACGTTCCTTGGGAGAGGCCAGACCCATCACTGTATGAAGAATAAGGATATAGGACAGTACAATAAGCAAGGAGTCTACACCCATTGTGGACAGAACCACGTATAGCCCATAAAGGATGTTGACAGTAATGTCAGCACAGGCCCGTTTCATGACATCTGCATGGAAGCAGAATGAATGCGACAAGAGGATCTTGCCAGGGCAATAGTTCAGTCGCTTCAGCAAAAATGGCAAAGGGAAGAGGGACACAGTGGCTCGAGCCACTATGGCCAGCCCCATCTTGATGATGACATTATCTGTGAGGACAGACACATAGTGCAAGGGGCTGGAGATGGCCACAAAGCGGTCAAATGACATGGCCAGGAGCACTGAGGACTCCACCACAGAGAAGAAGTGCAAGAAGAACATCTGGACCAAGCATGCATTGAAGCCAATGAGTCGATGGTCAAACCAGAGCACAGCCAGGGTGGTGGGCAGTGTAGACAAGGTGAGGCCCACATCAGTGAGGGCCAGCATGGAGAGGAAGTAGTACATGGGCTGGTGTAGATTTGGGGTCTTCCTTATAGCCTGGAGGATCAGGCAGTTTCCAGTGAGGGCCATCATGTACATGGATGAGAAGGGGATGGAGATCCAGCCATGAACAGCCTCCATGCCTGGGATGCCAATCATGAGGAAAGCAGGTGGCTGGAAGAAAGAGATGTTGACAAAGGATGGGGATGACAGCATCCTGGTTGGCATCTGAGAGCTTCTATATGGACAGAAAGGTGGAAGGTCCAGTATGGTAGAAAAGAGTAATCTTGTATTGAATCCAAAGTACTGATCCTTTAGAGCTATGTCAGTGCTACATAATCATAGCTATCTTTCAAAAATTTATCTTTCTTAAGGTTGTTATTTGTCTTCCTGGTGGAATGAGTTTCTCTCTCCTGGAAAATAACAAGTGAAGTCCAGAAAAATCTAGTCAGTGTCTACTGTTAGTCCAAAGTGAGGATGTATTCCTTCCATGTGTATAGCGGGAAGTTAGGAATACCTGTGTGGAAAATGATAATGTTGTCTTAATCGGGTAGGAACAGAGAAACAAGAATGAGAATATTTGTAGCAGTAATGAGTCTGAGAGAATAAGCAGGTACTGTTCTATCTCCTCTGGTTATGTACTTTGTGACATCAATTCTTCCTGATGTCATCCATTTATCTTGCCCATGGTACTTCTATGAACTTCAATTTGTAATAAGTTTAATGAGATGTGCTTAAATATCTTTTACTGAATTTTTGCCATATTTAGAATCAACCACATCTTGGACAAAGCCATGTTTTTTTTCCTCCATTGTCTAGATAGGAAAACTGAGAATCAAGAAGTAATTGCTGGGCCGGCGCCGCGGCTCACTAGGCTAATCCTCCGCCTAGCGGTGCCGGCACACCGGGTTCTAGTCCTGGTCGGGGCGCCGGATTCTGTCCCGGTTGCCCCTCTTCCAGGCCAGCCCTCTGCTGTGGCCAGGGAGTGCAGTGGAGGATGGCCCAGGTGCTTGGGCCCTGCACCCCATGGGAGACCAGGAAAAGCACCTGGCTCCTGGCTCCTGCCATTGAATCAGCGCAGTGCGCCGGCCGCAGCGCGCCGGCTGTGGCGGCCATTGGAGGGTGAACCAACAGCTAAAGGAAGACCTTTCTCTCTCTCTCTCTCTCTCACTGTCCACTCTGCCTGTCAAGAAAGACAATAAAAAAAAAAAAGAAGTAATTGCTGGCTGGCACCATGGCTCCCTTGGTTAATCCTCCACCTGTGGTGCTGGCATCCCATATGGGCGCCGGGTTCTAGTCCTGGTTGCTCCTCTTCCAGTCCAGCTCTCTGCTGTGGGCCAGGAGGGCAGAGGAGGACGGCCCAAGTTCTTGGGCCCCTGCACTTGCCTGGGAGACCAGGAAGAGGCACCTGGCTCCTGGCTTCGGATCGGCACAGCGCCAGCCGTAGCGACCATTTACAGAGTGAACCAATGGAAGGAAGACCTTTCTTTCTCTCTCTCTCACTGTCTATAACTCTACCTGTCAAATAAAAAAATAAATAAAAAAGAAGTAATTGCTCTTTTCTTGATGTTTCTTTATTGTTCTCTTACTTTCAAATCCAGGAGTACAGTAGTCATATTATTTTTCTTGATAACAGACAACTTTTGCCTTATGCAGTGCCTGGAACAGAGTATATTTGCAGTCAACATTTTCTTCTTTAAATGAATACACAAGTATCATTATATTGTTAGTATTGTACCTCTAAACTACATTGGATCTATTCTATTTGTATTAATATCACATTAATGAACTACATAATTGATCCTTGAAAGTATAGTCTTTTCTACTTACTATTTGTTGAATTCTTTACTTAGTGGAAGGTTCAGCTTCTGATTATAAAATATATGAAAATATGTCATTGTAAAAATTGAAAGCAAAAGTAAGAATGGAAGGAGGAAGATGGGTGGGAACATGAGTGGGAGGGAGGGTAGAGTGGGAAGTGCTCCCAAATCTGTGTTATTGAAATACATGAAACTTGTTCACCTTATATAATAAAAGTTTTTTAAAAAAATCTTATTACTATGAGAAGTGATGAGAATTGTGCTGTAGTAATACCATGAATTTGCTGTGACCCTGAGACCCTAATGTATTAATAAATTCCTTAAAAAAGGATAAATAGTAAAGTATAAAATTTCATGAAGAAAAATGAAATAAAAGATAATATGTTCCCCTAGCTTCCAGATAAAAGAATCAGTGTCTAATTTTGGAAGAGGAAGTAAATGAGGCCTATCTCAGGCAACCATGCATTCATTACATAATTTGGCAATTTGTCACAGGTTGATTTATAGGTGTCTGTGCAGAAAAGAAATTTCGAAAACGGGTTTGGTTAAGTTTCTTAACAATGTTTTCTTACCATATCAACAAGAAATCTTAATATTTGGATCAATCCATACCCTACTTTAAGAAGTATAATGGAGAGGGTTTGGCACTGTGGCGTAGCGGGTAAGGCCACCACCTACAGTGCCAGCGTCCCATATGGGCACTGGTTCAAGTCCTGGCTGCTCCACTTCTGATACAGCTCTCTGCTATGGCCTGGGAAAGCAGTGGAGGATGGCCCAAGTCCTTTGGCCCCTGCACTCACGTGGGAGACCCAGAAGAAGCTCCTGGCTCCTGCCTTCGGATTGGCGCAGCTCCAACAGTTGCAGCCAATTGGGGAGTGAACCAGTGGATGGAAGACCTCTCTCTCTGCCTCTTTCTCTCTTGTTAACTCTAAATAATAAATAAATAAGTAAATAAATAAATCTTTTAAAAATAAATTAATAAATATTTTTTAAAAAGAAATATAATGGAGATACCTAGAGAAAAATGATTCTGATAGCCTTGCCATTAGATTACCTGCACGGATCCATTTTATCTGCCTAATATACCTTAACCACTATGTTCTGTGCTTTGTTCAATCCCTGAGTAAATTGCTTCTACTCTCATCATCATTTATTGTATCTTAGGTAAGCTGCAGATAAATGCAGACTGGTATCCTTGCTTTCAACTTACACCACCACCTCTCCTCCTCTCCCCACAAGCCCCCGGAGTTCTTAAGCCATCTCAGTCAGTTTAATCTTTATAAGTTACCATGTTTAAATTGGCACATTTTACTTGCCATACCATTGCCCCACTGAATTTCATAATCATTTCCATGCCAGTCCATCGGTGGACATCTTTGCAAGATTCTAGAACTAGAGTATCTGAGATAACTGCAGTGAGAGAGACCCTGGGGTTGCCTCTCCATGTCTTGAAATTGTTGGAGTAATACTGACAGGCAGAACAAAGCACATTAAATGAGAAGACATTTCTGGATTCATCTATGCTATTATACTTTAGTATACTGCCCCTCTACTCTGTAACAATTTTGTGCAACAGATTTAACTCTCTTTACTTATACATGTGAACACACTGAGGTAGAGAGAGATCAAAGGACTCTGCAGGAGACTTGGTAGAACAACTCAGTCTTGGTGGTTTGTCACAATGGTCTACACTGTTTGTCCTAGATTGTAATAGATGCCAAGCTCACTTTTTCCTCATGGTCCTGAATTTTCTCATCTGCAAAATCATTGACTTACATTCGATTTTCTATATTTTGAACTGTGTCATTCTATGGTTCCAAGATGGTGTTTCTATATACAATTTTCTCTTATTTTCCCACCTCTCCACTTTGCTAAGCTTTTTCCCCTCTGAATCTCCATCTTGTAAGTTGTTCTTGCTCTCCAATTTTCACTTTTGTATGTTAATTGCCAATAATTTTTTCTTTTTCATTTTTTACAGATTCACATATTTTGAAAACAGTTTACTCATTTATTCCATAATTTCTCATTTATCTCTCTTCTCTATTAGTTTGAACTTCCCACAAACAGTAAACCTTATACTTACTGATAAAACTACTCAAGCCTGTGGTATATATGATTTTACAGGTCCACTTGGCTAAGTCAGGGCATACCATTTTGGGTCAAATGCGAGTATGTGTGTTACTGGTAACATATTTTTAAAACATGTCATCAACATTTAAATTACTAAATTTTTTTAAAGGTAATTGCTATCTAAAATGCTGTTGGGCTTCATCTAATTAGTTAAAAGAGGGAAATGAAAGGAAGGAAAAAAGAATTCTGCACCAAATTGCTTTAAACTCAATGTCAACTCTACTCTGAATCTCCAGCCTCTGAGGCAGATTTCAAAATGTCAGCTCCAACAATTGCATGAAACAATTCCTTAATCCCTCTCTCTCTCTCTCCTTTATTCTCTCTGTGTGTGTGTCTCTCTCTCTCTTTATATCACACTCTCACACTATACATACACACACATTCACACACACACACACGTAGATTGATTGATAGATACAGATATATAGGTATATATTTCCAATTGGTTCTGTTTATCTGGGTAACCTTGACTAATACATAGTTGTATTTTTGTTACTAGGAATTCAGTCAATTTTGATGAATTAGTGAAAAGCTCACTGGAGCAAACTGTGGACTTTTGCAAACCATGACTACTTATATTTTATCTAGGGTGCCAGTCAAGGGGGGACCCACTTTGAAATACCAGTGCAGGCACATGATGAGATACAACACCTGTGAGCCATATCAAGGGAGTCTTCACCTATTCTCTCTTATGCACAGTATGAAACCCACATTTAGTTATTTCTTTGCTATCTCTGTCTCCCTTCAATACCTGGACAGGGAGAAAGGTCTGAGTCTGGACCATGGTAGCTCACCTTGCCTGTGATCCCAGCCTGCACTGTTGTGGTTCTGCATCCTAAAGAAGCTCAGGGTTCCCTTACAGCTGAGATCATCTGCTTTTATGCTGCTGCCAGAAAATGCACCCAATCTCCAGGGACACTACGCTTTGAATTGCAAAAACAAAACAAAACAAAACAAAACAAAACAAAACAAAACAAAAAACAAAAAACCAAAAGCAAAAAACAAAAAAACAAAACACACCTCTCTGTTCCTGTTATAGGAGGTGAGGAGTGGTGGGGATAAAGAGAAGTCCAGAGAGATTAGCAAAATGAGCAGCCTGAATTCCGCAATGTAGCTCTCTCTAAGACATGCCTCCCAGAGCGAGGATGCTCCCTTGGTTCTCCTGTGGTTGCTTACCTCACTTTAAGAAAGAACATCTTTGTATTTACTGGGGAGGGACAGAGTTAGCCAACAGTAGAGTCAGACTTCTTGGGACTAATGACTGGGTTAAAGATTCAGTAGATGCTGAGATAAGGATTAATTTAAATGCCACAGAAGGAAAAATATCATCCAGTGAAATGTAATATTGAACCTAGATATTGCGTTTGATGGCCAAAGTATTAGAAGTTAGGAAGTGGCTGGTATTCTGAGTCTCATTTCCAGTAAGACTTACACACAGTGCAGAATGGGAGTTAAATTCCTCAGACATTCAGCAGCCTGCCACATCAGCCAAGTTCTCACAGGTTGGTGGGTCTATGTTTTGCCAGCAAGCTTTCTTCAAAGTAAGACAAATGATTTCTCCTTCTACCTTCCACCATCAAGAAAGATCCTCAATACTTGCTTGTCTGCTTTGGATTTTAGAGGTAGAACATAAAAGATTTTTGAATAATTATCTGAACTGTTTATTACCTAACCAACATGGCCTAGAGAAAGACAGGGGTGTGTAGCATGTTCAGTCTCAGGTGTAAGCAGCTTTAGCATGTGGGCCATATAACCTGGTAAAACTATGGTTTCAGGGCCAGCACCATGGCTCACTAGGCTAAGGCGCCGGCACACCAGGTTCTAGTCCTGGTCGGGGTGCCGGATTCTGTCCCGGTTGCCCCTCTTCAGGCCAGCTCTCTGCTGTGGCCAGGGAGTGCAGTGGAGGATGGCCCAAGTGCTTCGTCCCTGCACCCCATGGGAGACCAGGAGAAGTACCTGGCTCCTGCCATCGGATCGGCGCGGTGCACCGGCCGCAGTGCGCTGGCTGTGGCGGCCATTGGAGGGTGAACCAATGGCAAAAGGAAGACCTTTCTCTCTGTCTCTCTCTCTCTCACTATCCACTCTGCCTGTCAAAAAAAAAAAAAAAAAAAAAGAATGAGGACACAGATAAGAATATAGTGTCCAGAAGATATGAGAGTGGTCACAAATTCACCATCCTTAGGTTACAAAGCAGAAGAAAATAAATGCTGTACAACAGTTCAAGGGCTCCTTTAGTGTCTCATTTGCATTTCCGATTGGAGCATGACCCATGGAAGTTGACCATACCTTATGCTCAAGGACAGATCCAGTGCCCTCAGCATGGATTTTGAAAGGTTCTAGTTTTGTGAGCTGAGCCTCCCAGTCCAACCTTTTCCTCTGCCACCTCACTCTCTCCTCTAGCCACCCGTGTCCATTCACTCTTCCTTGAAAGCCCTACTCATTGCTCAATTTTTTTTTGTCAGTCATAGAATGCTTTATTTTAAACTTGCTGTTCAAACTTTCAAATACAACACATGTGGCAAAGAAACAACAGTTAACACACAGTATCTGCCACAATTCTATCTTTGAACTGCCTTTTCTCTTTTATGTGATGTGCTACCATTTCTTACATTCATGGTATTCTTAAGGCAGCAGTGCCGATTTTTTTTCCTTTGAAAACAGTTTTGTTAATGTTCTGAGATTCCTTGAAATGACAACTTTGTCCTTTTAGTATTCTGCTGCTGCCCACATAAGTGACCATAATTCAATATGTTACATGCTGTTGACATGTACACTGTACTTAATAAATCAATTCCCAACTTTATGTTAAATTGAAGTTCAACCTGGAACAAGCATTTTCCTAAATCATTATACTCAACTACTTTTCTCAAAAATATTTCCATTCTGAAATAAGTTTTTTTTTGTGTGTAAGATACAATAATTTCATCTTTTACTCCTAACAGAACTCATGCCGTACTTTTTTTTTCTCAAAATATATTTGATATATTCTGTGCAAAATGTTAAGTTCTGTATAGGTATGTACCTTATTTTGAAAAAGTTTATAAAATATAATGCTCCCTTCTACTGTTATTTTTCTAATTTCCCCACACCACTCCATATTCCCTTATATATATCATAAAACTTTTAAAAATAGTTTCAAAATTGTTTGAGATGTCTCAGGCAGATGGAGAGCACCCATCCGCTGATTCACTCCTCAAATGCCTGCAATGGCTGTAACTAGAGTGAGCTGAAGCTGGGAGCTTCGCAATCCAAGTCTCCCATGTGAATGGCAGGAACCCAAGCATTTGAGAGTTCACCAGTACTTCCTAGGTTCCCCATTAGCAGGAAGCTGGAGTCAGGAACTGGACCTGGAAACTGAACCCAGGCACTCCAATGAGGGATGGTGGCATCTTAACCACTAGAGTAAAAATTGCTCCCTCTTTTTTTTTTTTCTTTTAAGAATTCACAGTGTTGGCATTTGGCCTGCTAATTAAGACAATGGTTGGGATATCAACATCCAAGTCAGAATTCCTGGATTCAAATCCTGGCTGTCCTCCTGATTCCCACTTTCTGCTAATGAGGATTCTGAGATGCAACAGGTGATGACTCAATTGCTTGGGTCCCTGTAACCCACGTAGGAGACTAGGACTGAGTTCCCTGCTCCTGGGTTCAGCTTTGCCAATTTCTGTTCTGTGCAGGCATTTGGAAAGTGAATCAATGGATGGGAGCTAGCTCTCCCCCCCACCCCCATCTCTCTACCTCTGAAATAAATAAATAAAAATTTGAAGAAGACACAGCCAAGACAGAGCCTTCAGATGACTGAACTTCCTGTTTTTCCTATCATTATTATTATTGTTTTGCTGATTTCTCTGTCCTTACCCTATGTCAGTAACTTTTTACTTGTCACTGTACTTTCTTATTTATTTTTCCTCTTTATTCCAATGGAATATGAGATTTTCAAAAGCAAAAAATTGGGCCTTATTCATTTCTGAAAACTCAGGACTTCTTTTTAAGATTTATTTATTTTTATTTGACAGGCAGGGTTACACACACACACACACACACACACACAGAGAGAGAGAGAGAGAGAGAGAGAGAGAGAGATCTTTCATTTGCTGTTCAATCCCCAGATGGCCACAACAGATAGGACTGAAGCTAGAAGCCAGGAGCTTTTTCCAGGTCTCCCATGGGGATGAAGGGGCCTAAGCACTTGGGATATCTTCTGCTGTTTTCTCAGGCTCATTAACGGGAGCTGGATCAGAAGTGGAGCAGCCAGGACTCAAACCAGTGCCCATATGGGATGCCAGCACTGTAGGAAGTGGCTTAACCTTTTACACCACAATACTGGCCACAGGCTCAGAACTTTAAGTGGCCACAAATTAAATATCTGTTCTAATGAATGAATGACTACTACAATAACAAGAATAGAAAAATCTTTATTGATGTTTACTCTATGTATTACATTACTTTATGTCCATTCATCCTTATAACATTATAAACTAGGGACTATAGTTATTCCCATTTAATTGTAGATGTCACCAAAGAATATACAGGTGAATACTTTTTTATTTATTTGAAAGACAGAGTTGCAGAGAGAGGTAGAGACAGAGAGGTCTTCCATCCGCTGGTTCACTCCCCATATGGCCCCAATGGCTGGAGCTGTGCCAATCCAAAGCCAGGAGCCAGGAGCTTCTTCCAGGTCTACCAATATATATATGTATGTAGGGGTTTGTGTGTATTATATATATAGTGTGTATTATATATATTATAATAATGTGTGTATGTGTGTATGTATGTATAACATATGTGTATTATATATAAAATATATGTGTGTATGTATACATACATATGTGTATATATATCCATTACACTTTGTCTAATTGTATACATAAAGGCCTCTGTACTACAATGGAAAGAAGAGACTATCTATATTTAACTTAAAACATTTTTTATTTATTTGAGAAAGAGCAAGAGCAAGCAAGCAAAAGAGATTGAGAAACTGAGAAATCATCTACTTGTTTACTTCTCAAATGTCACAAGAGCTGGGGTTGAGTCTGGCCAAAGCCAACAGCTAAGAGTCCAATCTGGATGTCCCATGTAGGTGGCAGGACCCACTCATATGTGCCATCACAGGTGCTTCCCCAGATGTGCTTTAGCAGGAAGATGGAAAAGGAGATCAACCGAAATTTGAACCCAGGCACAAAATATGGAATGCAGGTGTTCAGAGTGGTGTCTTCACTACTATGTCAACTACCTGCCACTATTCCTTTCAATAACTCTAGTGATAAGCACAGATGTTTGCACAATTTAACCAAAATAAAATACTTGAAGTAATGAAGGCTTGAAAGAATCCAGACAGTTCCTCATCCAAATTTATTTTTTTACATAATATTTCTGGGTCAGAGCTTTAAAAAAGGTCATCTGGGTATAAGATATGAACATTTGACCATACTTCCTATAGATTTTGTGGGTACGCTTTGAGTTGTCAACCTTGGCCTTTCCTTCTCAGCACTCTGAGCATGGCCTCTCTGATGGGCTTGGATTTCACGCTGTAGATGATGGGGTTGAGCACAGGAGGCACCACCAGGTACACATAGGCAACAAGAGCATGCACAATGTGTGGAAGGTGCCTCCCAAATCGGTGGATCATGGACACACCTATGACTGGGATGTAGAAAACCAGGACGGCTAAGAAATGAGATACACAGGTGTTGAGGGCCCGTAAACGTTCCTTGGGAGAGGCCAGACCCATCACTGTATGAAGAATAAGGATATAGGACAGCACAATAAGCAAGGAGTCTACACCCACTGTGGACAAGACCACGTATAGCCCATAAAGGATGTTGACAGTAATGTCAGCACAGGCCCGTTTCATGACATCTGCATGGAAGCAGAATGAATGCGACAAGAGGATCTTGCCAGGGCAATAGTTCAGTCGCTTCAGCAAAAATGGCAAAGGGAAGAGGGACACAGTGGCTCGAGCCACTATGGCCAGCCCCATCTTGATGATGACATTATCTGTGAGGACAGACACATAGTGCAAGGGGCTGGAGATGGCCACAAAGCGGTCAAATGACATGGCCAGGAGCACTGAGGACTCCACCACAGAGAAGAAGTGCAAGAAGAACATCTGGACCAGGCATGCATTGAAGCCAATGAGTCGATGGTCAAACCAGAGCACAGCCAGGGTGGTGGGCAGTGTGGACAAGGTGAGGCCCACATCAGTGAGGGCCAGCATGGAGAGGAAGTAGTACATGGGCTGGTGTAGGTTTGTGGTCCTCTTCACAGCCAGGAGGATCAGGCAGTTTCCAGTGAGGGCCATCATGTACATGGATGAGAAGGGGATGGAGATCCAGCCATGAACAGCTTCCATGCCTGGGATGCCAATCATGAGGAAAGCAGGTGGCTGGAATAAGGAGATGTTGACAAAGGACTGGGATAGGGGCATATTTGGAAGACAGCTGAGGGCTCCAGAGATGTGCCCTTTTTAGTCTATACAGACAGGTAGGAGATCCAGAATAACAGAAACAAGCACTCTAATATTGAATATAAAGTCTGGTCCCTTAGAGCTATGTCAGTGCTACATTTAACTGTCTTTCACAAATTTATCTTACTTCAGGTTGGTGTTTGTCTTCCTGGTAGAATTAGATTCTCTTTCCTGAAAAGAGCAATTTGAGTTCAGAAAACCCAGTTAGTGTCAACTTTTAGTTCAAATTTAGGAAGTATGACTTCCATATGCTTAGTGGAAATTGAAGAATGACTGTTTAGAAAGTTATTATGTCAACCAAATCAGGTTGGAATGGAGAAGTAAGGATTAGAAGATTTTCAGCTCTATAAAGTGGGTGTGGTATAAAAGAGCAGTTGCTGTGTCTTTCTTGTTTTTGCATTCATGACATTATTTATTCTTGAAGTCTTCTACTTATCTCCCCATGATATTTCTGTTAATTTTTACATGCAATCAATTTTATGATATATGATTAAGCATGGTATTTTGCCACACTCAGAGTCAACCAGACTTTGGAAAAGGCCATATTTTGCCTTCTATTGTACAGATGAGGAAACTGAGAATTGGAAAGTATAGTAGCTGACCATTGAGTAAATGTCTCATATATTACTGTTCTGCTGTTTGCATGTATGTCTGTCTGGTACCAAATCCAATACTCTCTCCTGTAGCCTGCTCTTTAGATGAAACAAAATATTTGAGAAGATACAAAACATCACAAGCATTATTTTTGGTATTATTGTGTTGGCTAACATTTTATGTTTTTCAAAATCTTTCAGTACAGAATGAGTCTTCAACAATTTATTGGAAATGTGTGTTATGAAAAATGATACATAGGTTTAAATTTTTGCACAAAATAGACTTATTTTTTAGTTCAATGAACATGTTGAAATATTCTAGTTTATTATCTATTGATCTTAACAGCAATTCTGTATCATAGGCCCTGAAGAAACCACTACTACAACTCTAAGAATGATGTAATTGGGTCCAAGGAAGTGACTTGTTCATGTTATTACTCTGCTTAAATTCCTTCAACCCTCATTTACTCTAATAAAATGCTTGTGATATGCCCTGTATCCTCCATTGATCTAGTCTCTGTGGTGCTCTTATTGCCTGATATTATTGCCATCCCAATATTGTTTGTTTCTTAAATAGACCGAGTTCTTCTTAAACTTAGGGCTTTGTACTCTGGTTGTGCTTGTCTCTTTGCTTTTCACATGGCTTTCTCTTCATTCTTTTGGATTTTCAACATCATCTTCTCATGGAGGCACCAAGTAGGTGTCCTGAGTCACACAACCCAATCATTGCTTGCAAATCACACTTTCTTAGTATTTTTTTTACACAACTCAATGCATCTAATAATTTTATAATAGCTTCTTGTTGTTTTTCTATCTTTCTCATTACTACAAAAATCCACGAATATAGCAGCTATATTGCTCTTCTTGATGATACATAACTTGCATTATGCAATACCTAGAACAGAGTAAATTTTTAGTCAACATTTGCTTTGTTGAATGAATACATAACATATTGAATGATAACATCTATAGAGATAAAAAGATAACTTGTGTTCCCCTGGGTTCCAAATAATAGAACCAGTGACTGGTTTGGAAGGGAAAGGGGAATGAGACCCTATCCCAAGCAATTATGCATTACACAATTGGGGTGTATTTGACAGATTAACTTATAGGTGACTGTTAATAAATTAAATTTCCAAGAATGGCATGGTTAGGTGTCTTAACAATAGATTTTGGGGCTAGTACTGTGGTGTAGTGAGTAAAGCGGCCACCTGTGGCTCTTACATCCCACATGGGTGCTGGTTAAAGCCCTAGCTGCTCCACTTCCCTTCTAATGTTCCTGGGAAAGCAGTGGAAGATGGCCCAAGTGCTTAGGAATCCACACCCATGTGGAAAGCCTGGAAGAGGGTCCTGGCTCCTGACTTCTGATTGGCCCAGCTCCAGCCATTGTGGCCACTTGGGAGCAAACCAGTGAATAGAAGATTTCTCTCTTTGTCTCTCTATCTCTCTGTAACTCTGACTTTCAAATAAATAAATAAATCTTTAAAAAATAATATATTTTTACTATGTCAACAAGGAATCCCAAGTATTTGGATCTATACTTATCCTGCTTTAAGAAGTCTAATGGGGATGCCTAGAGACAAATGCGTCATTATAGCCTTGCCATTTGATGATTTATGTAGGGGTAAGGCTGATGGACGTCTTTCATTGATCCATTTTATGCCTAATATACCTAAACCTCTATGTTCTCCTTCCCATCATTCAATCCCTGAGTAAGTTTCTTACAATCTCTTACCATATCTTAGGGAAACTGGCATCCATGCCTTCAACTTATACCTCTCCTCCTCTCCCACTATCTTCCCAAAGTTCTTAAGCCATCTCAATCAGTTTAATTTTTCTTTTTCTTTTTTTTAATGAATATAAATTTCCAAAGTACAGCTTATGGATTACAATGGCTTCCCCCCCATAACGTCCCTCCCACCTGCAACCCTCCCCTTTCCCACTCCCTCTCCCCTTCCATTCACATCAAAAATCATTTTCGTTTCTCTTTATATATAGAAGATCAGTTTAGCATACATTAAGTAAAGATTTCAACATTTTGCTCCCACACAGAAACATAAAGTGAACAATACTGTTTGAGTACTAGTTATAGCATTAAATCTCAATGTACAGCACACTAAGGACAGAGCTCCTACATGAGGAGTAAGTGCACAGTGACTCCTGTTGTTGACTTAACAAATTGACACTCTTGTTTATGGCATCAGTAATCACCCTAGGCTCTTATCATGAGCTGCCAAGGCTATGGAAGCCCCCTGAGTTCACTGACTCTGATCATATTTAGACAAGGCCATGGTCAAAGTGGAGTTTAATTTTTCTAAGTTACCATTTTTAATTTGGCACATATTTAAATTGCCATACCCTTGTCCCACTGAAATTCATAATCATTTCTATGCTAACCATCAGTAGATATTTTTGCAAGGCTCTAGAACTAGGATATCTGAGATAACTGCAGTGAGAGAGACCTTCGGGTTTCCTTTCCATATCTTGTAATTGTTGGAGTAATACTGACACACAACATGAAGCAGATGAAATGAATTTTGATATTTTTTATTGTAGAGGTTTAGAAAAGAGGTTTCTAGATTCAGCTATGCTACCATATCATTTTATTATTCCAGGTTTATATGGCACATATTAGGAATTCAGCCAGTTTTGATGCACAATGAACTCAACAACACTACTACTTTTGAGTAATGTCCATGCACTACTTACTGCAGCAATTAATTTAATACACTGTCCTCAGCTCTGAAGCAACATTGTGCTACAGATTGATTCTCTCCACTTATAAATGTGAAGACACTGAGGCAAAGAGAGATAAAGAACTATCCAGGAGACATGGTAGAAGAATTCAATCTTGGTTCTGTTTGTCACAATAGACTACACTGTTTGTTCCAGCTTGTATCAGGTGTCAAACTCACTTTCTTCTCATGGTCTTGAATTTCTCATCTGTAAAATCTGGGAATTGGACTAGATTTTCTGTGTTTTGAACTGTGCATTTTATACTTCCAATCTGATGTTTCTATTTACAATTTTTTCTTACTTTTCTACCTCTTCATTTTGTTGCTTTTTTACCCATCTGAATATCTTTCCATATAGTTTTATTCTATTCAATTTTTTGTCTTTGTACTTCAACCCCATATTTTTCTTTATTTAGTCTCATCTTTTCAAGACAGTGTTCACTCACATATTCCCTCAAATAGTAATACTTATACTTACTGATAAAGCTCCATATATGTATATATGTATTAGTATATATGATACTAATTTTAATGTCTATTTGGCTAAGCCAAGGTACCTATATTTTGGTCAAATACCAGTGTACAAGCTGTTGTGAAGATATTTTTAAACATGTTATTAACATATAAATTAGTGGACTTTGAATTGAGGCAATTTTTCTCTACAAGGTGGGTTAGGTCTCCTCCAATTAATTGAAAGACTGCCGGTCACCCAAGGAAAGAAAGAATTGTGCTGCAAATTGTCTTTAGACTCATTATCAACTCTTCTCTCAATCTCTAGCCTGCCTTGCAGATTTCAGATATGTCAGCCCCAGCAATTGCATAAGACAATTTCTTAATGTCTCTTAATCTCTCTCTCTCTCTCTCTCTCTCTCTCTCTCTTTCTGCCTACACACACACACACACACACAAATATAGATACATTGATAGATATAGATATATGAGTATATATTTCCTATTGGTTCCCTTTCTTTTAAGAGACTTAACTAATACACAATCTGTAGTAGGAGTTCAGTCATTTTAATGAATTAGTGAAACATTCACTGGAAAAATCTGTGGAGCAAGCTTCTATTTTGCCAAGCAATGTTTATATTTTTCCTAGGAATTAAGTCCAGTATAGACATATTGCTTTGAAATAGTCTGCATTTCTGAAAACATGCTGACCTACTTGACCAGTGGGACACAGAAAAGGAGTCTTCATCTCTTCTGTCTTATGCACAGTAAGAAACTGAATGCTGGGGGTACCCAATACTCAGATTTATTTATTTCTCTGCTACCTCTGATTCCTGTCATTTCTTTTCCTGTGATCCTTTTCTTGGTGGAGAAGAGGAAGGGGTAACATAGAAGCCCTTCAGTGCCTGGACAGGGAGAAAGGTAGGAGTCTGGACCATGGTAGCTCACCTTGCCTGTGATCCCAGCCTGCACTGTTGTGGTTCTGCATCCTAAAGAAGCCCAGGGTTCCCTTACAGCTGAGATCATCTGCTTTTATGCTGCTGCCAGAAAATGCACCCAATCTCCAGGGGCACTACACTTTAAATTGCAAAAAAAAACAAAAACAAAAACAAAACTCTCTGTTTAGCTCTACTCCTGTTATAGGAGGTGAGGAGTGGTGGGGATAAAGAGAAGTCCAGAGAGATTAGCAAAATGAGCAGCCTGAATTCCGCAATGTAGCTCTCTCTAAGACATGCCTCCCAGAGCGAGGATGCTCCCTTGGTTCTCCTGTGGTTGCTTACCTCACTTTAAGAAAGAACATCTTTGTATTTACTGGGGAGGGACAGAGTTAGCCAACAGTGGAGTCAGACTTCTTGGGACTAATGACTGGGTTAAAGATTCAGTAGATGCTGAGATAAGGATTAATTTAAATGCCACAGAAGGAAAAATATCATCCAGTGAAATGTAATATTGAACCTAGATATTGCGTTTGATGGCCAAAGTATTAGAAGTTAGGAAGTGGCTGGTATTCTGAGTCTCATTTCCAGTAAGACTTACACACAGTGCAGAATGGGAGTTAAATTCCTCAGACATTCAGCAGCCTGCCACATCAGCCAAGTTCTCACAGGTTGGTGGGTCTATGTTTTGCCAGCAAGCTTTCTCCTTCTACCTTCCACCATAAAAAAAATTGCCATGGTCCAGTCTAGTAGTCTAGTTTGGATTTTAGAAACAGAACATAATGTGCTTAGATATAATGCCTTGAGCCATTTATAATACAACCTAATGGACTGCCAGTTTTGAGATGGCCTAGAGAAAGACAGGGGTGTGCAGGGGTGTGTAGCAAGTTCAGTTTCAGGTGAAAACAGCTTTGGCATTTGGGCCATATATCCTGTTAAATTCATGGTTCGAGTTGTATCTGTTGTACACAAAGATATTTTTTGGAGTATCTATTATGCACTAATAAAACACCTTCCAGGAATGTGTACACAAATAAAATAACCCCTGAATATGGGCATGATCCCAAATTCATCATCATTAGATTCCAGAGCAGAAGATGAAAGTGCTGTATAACAGCATACAGGCTCTTTGAGAATCTCACTTGCATTTCAGATTGCAGTATGATGAATGGAAGAGGGGCCATACTCATGCTCAGGAACAGATCCAGTATCTTGGCATGAATTTTAAAATATTCTTGTTGAATGAGCTGTGTCTTACCCTCTACCACCTCATTCTTTCTCTAGCCTCACTTAACTATTCATTCTCCCATGAAAGCCATCTACTCATTGATCAAGTTGCAATGTCCCCTCTCACTATCATTCCTCTTATTTCCCTGCTTCATTCCCTTTGTTTGCATTATATGTATTTTAAAAATAGATTTATTGAGAGTTAACTGCAAGACCAGTTCACAAACAATTTGTGTGTGCAAATCGTTGAAATCTTTACTTAATATAGAGTTGTTCTTCTGTGTACAAAGTTAATTGAACATGAATCTTAATGGAGACTGGGACTGGCAAGGGGAGAGGGAGGAGGTGGAGGCGTGGGAGGGCAGGTATCATGGGAAGAATAACTATATTGCTAAAGTTGTACTTATGAAGTTTATATTCCTTAAAAAATAAAAAAAAATTGTTCAGTCTCTCTCAGGCGAAGAAGAGCTCCCATCTCCTGATTCATTCCTCAAATGCCTGCAATGACCAAAGATGGACAATGCTGAAACTGGAAGCCAGGAACATAATCCAAGTTGCTCAAGCTAGTTGCAGGAACTTAAGCCTTTTAGTGATTTAGCAGAGTCTACATTAATAGGAGGCTGGAGTTAGTTTCTGGGTCTGAAAACTGAACCCAAGCACTCTGATATGAGATGAGTACATCTTTTTTTTTTTTTTGGACAGGCAGAGTGGCCAGTGAGAGAGAGAGAGACAGAGAGAAAGGTCTTCCTTTTGCCATTGGCTCACCCTCCAATGGCTGCTGCGGCTGGCGCGCTGCGGCCGGCGCACCGCGCTGACCCAATGGCAGGAGCCAGGTACTTACCCTGGTCTCCCATGGGGTGCAGGGCCCAAGTACTTGGGCCATCCTCCACTGCACTCCCTGGCCACAGCAGAGAGCTGGCCTGGAAGAGGGGCAACCGGGAAAGAATCCGGCGCCCCGACCGGGACTAGAACCCGGTGTGCTGGCGCTGCAAGGTGGAGGATTAGCCTAGTGAGCCGCGGCGCCGGCCGAGATGAGTACATCTTAAACACTAGGGTAAATACTTTCTCTTTCTAATTCATTCTTTAAGAAACCCCAGGGTTGGCATTTGGCCTATTGGTTACAACAATGGTTGGCATGCCAACATCCACATGCCGCCTCACACATTATGAGGAAACTGCAGTCAAAAATGGAGGAGGGATATTAACCCCCAAAATACCTACCCACTAGTTTTATGTGTGTGCCTTATATAGAGTGTTTCCAGTCATGCCTTTCCTTACCTTGGCTTCTACAATTTGTTCTTTCATGTTAAGCAAAATGTTTTGGCTCGTATCTATGACCTCTCTGAGTTACTTTATTTTCTCAGGATATATGATTATTATATACAGTTTTCCAGATGAATCTCATTGTAATGTTAGTCTTGGATCCCTAATAAAATATCCTGAATTATATATATATACA